TGTTGTCATAAGATTTTATATATTGCGCGACTTGCTTAGGAAGCGACATCTTTCGGGAAGCGGAACGACTTCTTTCTTTCTTCCATATTGTTTTCGCCTTCGTTTCCGTTTTCCCCCCTTCCTCCGTGACGTACGGAGATAGAGAGTGCAAGACGATTACGCTCGGGCTTGGTTTTCTTACGCCGTTTCGGTTGTAGAAGCAAACCGCTAGTCGCGAGTGGGACTACACATATTTTTGTAAGCCTAATAAAGTGGTATTATTTAATAGTCGTATACACTCTTAGTAGTTATCGTGAACAACAACCTTTCACCGTTCTTACACAAGATATAACAGTTGGCGACGAGGATAAAGAATTATCACTGAGAAATTATCACTACACTACAAAGAATATGGCGGAGGCACGTGTACAAGCCACGTTTCACATCGAGCCGTTTGATACCACGACGAGTTGGCCACGCTGGTTAAGTCGACTCGAAGGTGCTTTCAAACTTTTCAAGGTACCTGCTGAAAATAAGGTATCCTACTTATTACATTATATTGGACCAGCCGCTTTCGATGTGATTTGCAACAAGTGCGCACCAGAGGATCCGTACGAAAAAGAATACAACGAGGTAGTGGCTAAATTACAAGAATTTTACGCTCCAACCTCTCTGGAAATTGCGGAAAATTTTCGTTTCCAACAACGTCGTCAATTGGAAAACGAAATATATTACAATACATGGCAGCATTACAAAAGTTAAACATCAACTGCAATTTCGGGGCGTACCTTAAAACAACGTTAAGGAATCAATTCGTATTTGGCATAAAAAGCACGAGAATTCAATCAAGACTCTTGGAATCCAAAGACTTAACCTTCGACAAGGCGGTGCAGCTTGCAACGAGTATGGAGATGTCGGCGAAGGATACAGACCAATTACAAGGTCCGAGTACAGCACTAGTACAGGTCGCAGATTCAAAGAAGATTCCAACCTTGAGACCAAAGACACGAGATGTCTGCCAGAAAAAGAAGACCGAGCATCGATTCACACCAAAAACTGCTAAAAATAATACATTGCGTGATACACATTACAATAAAAATATTCATTGTTACAGATGCGGTAAAGGACATTTAGCTTCACAGTGCACATTAAGTCGCGAAATTAAATGCAGAGCTTGCGGAAATAAAGGGCATCTCCAATCAGTGTGTTTCAAAAATAAAAGTCAAACCCATCAATTAGAGGAAATCCTCAGTACAACATGGCAGGATAAGGTTATGATCTCACAGTTGGAACAAGGTGAACAAAGAGATAAATTCGTTACGCGACTACAGGTAAATGATAAAGAAATAGATTTCGAAATAGATAGTGGAGCTGCCGTGATTATTGCAAATAAAGCTCAAATGCTCAAATTGTTCCCAAATTCGACCATACATCCAACTAGTTTACAATTAATTACTTTTTGTAAAAACACGTTGCAAACGTTAGGTTTTATTACAGTAAATGTTAAATATGAAAATGTACGACGTAAATTGAATATTTACCTTATAAATGTAAATAGAAAACCTTTATTAGGTCGTGAATGACTACGCCAACTTTTACATCATACAGCTCTAAAAGAATTGTCATTGAGTACCCATTCAGAAGAATTACTAACGACAGATACGAAACAACAATTAGACAATATCTTACAAAAATATAAAAAAATTTTTGAAGTAAACCTTGATTCTATTAAAGATAAGAAAGAGAGCTAGATTAACGTTAAAGAATGATACACAACCTACTTTTCTCAAACACCGTACAGTTCCTTTTAAATTGTTGCCTTTGGTGGAAAAGGAAATAAAAAATTTAGAAAACGCAGGAATTCTGGTAAAAGTTGATACTTCTGAATGGGCTACACCCATAGTACCAGTCCTAAAAAAGGAAGGAAAAATAAGAATATGCGGAGACTATAGCGTTACACTCAAC